AAGCCAGAAAATTGATGAAAAACACTACTACTAGTTTGTAGTGAGACAAGCATACGTCTGTATAGTAACTTGAAAGGTTCAAATCCTAGAAATGGCAGCAAGAATACATTTTGGTTAGCTGGAAACCATTTATTAGTATCTTGCAATTTGTTTGATTGGCAAACTTTTGAGGATAGACACTGCTATGTTTAGGCACATGCTAGATACCTCAGACAATTAGCTTCGACGCACCTGACATATCCGACACGACTACAACAAGAATGGACACAACCAAGTTTATTTTTTTTCATAAAAAGATTAGACAAAAAAAGCTTTTAGAAGTAACACACGTCTTCGTATTTCTTCCGAATTTCACTTTTCTGGTCTCCTATTTCATCATGGTCTATATCTTCATCATATTTTGCTGATCATCTTTACTCTCAGCGGTATGAATCTTTGTCATGTCTTTGTCTGCATTCGTGCTTCATAGAACAAAAGCAAGTATGAAGAAAGAAATAGAGTGGAAAATGATATAATTTTATAGTTGTTAGGTTGAAAAGAAAATGAAAGAAATGTAAACAAGTTCTCTCCCCGTGTGTGATTCGGTAAAAAGTGAGGAAATAAAAAGTATATTTATGATATGCCATAAATACTCAAGTAAAATGACATGTGATAAACAATATAATATAGTAAAATATATAACCACTTATGCCAAAAGAGAATAAATATTTTTCAAAACTCTATAAATTGGAAAACGTTAATATATTAAAAAGTATTTATTTTTTCTTTTTTAAACAGTTTATTTTTTCTTCTTTACTATTGTAATTGGTTGCAACCAAATTGGGGAAACTTTTAGTAAAAATAGTTTTCAGCTCTTGACTATCCTTTCCTTTGTTTTTCTCATAGAACCCACTGAATTCAGATAAGAGAAACAGTATGGAGGAAAAAAGGTTCCAGAGAAAGGTTGTCAAATTTACTATCTAGATCTTAAAATCTTAAGATTTTGCGATCCCACTCACCCCAACAATCCCAATCTTAAGAAGAATCGTGTGTTGTAGCCAAATTGTGGAAAAAATCGTTAAAACATTGATTATGTACGATGTTACTATTCCCTCCTGCTCTTGACAACCATGTTCCAGAGTCTAAGACTCCTTTCCTGAGACTTGAGAGATATTCTCTCCTACAGATTCACAGAGTGACAACATACTGCCACATGACTATGAATTCCCTATTCAACCCCTCTATTGAGGTAATGCGCAAATCCGGTATCCCATCATTTTCACTGTATTCAAACAAAATATTATAGGATCAGGGTTGTGACCTATGTGTTGTCATCTTGAATAGCACCGTCTAGTGGCTAACCCCAAAACTGAAATAGCGTTGTAATGCATATCGGGATGACTTCTAATGATATTCTAATCTTTTTTATACTACTATTTATTAAGTAATTACTATCACTATTACTATGTAGATATTTACATACATAAGAAATATTTAATTATTTATTTTAACTACTTTATGCTATATACACAAATAATTTTCTTTTAGGTTCCATTGTTCTAAGTATTTTCATATGTTTTGTTTTAAGTATTTTTTTCACATTTATTATACTTTAGGGAAATACTCTGACCCAATGATGTCAAACACAAGATTCTAAGTAGGACCAGTAGAACAGTGAAAGATCGAAACAAGACGAAAAGTTCCTACTGAAGGGCTAAATTGTACTGATACATAGGCATAAAAACTATCATATATGCATAAAATAACCTTTAAATCACTATTAAACTAAATAAAGCCCGATTCCCTCCTCACTAACATATAGAAGTCTAAAGCAAAAAAAAATAAAAAATGAGTTGGGCCTCGTGCCAAGAAGCTCTGTTTTTTCATTTACCAAAAAAACCTAGTTCTACTAATCAACAGACAAAGAGTGGTGGTGAGCCGCCTCAAGTCAACCGTGGTTGTCAAGATTGTGATACATAGAGGAGGGAGAGTCACGTATGACAGCGCTAGTGGTGGAGCAATTGCAATCAGTGGCAGTGTTTAAAAACTCGAGAGTTACGCAGAAAGGATAGAAGATTGAAAAATCATAACTCGAGGATAGTAGCTCGGATCGTAATCTACTACTGGTAGAAAAATATATTATATATGCATAACTATATACACATGCCCGAAAACCATCATATATAAAGAAAATAAGTTCTCAATCATAACCAAAGAAAATAAGTGTTTTTAGAAGGAAATCCTACGCTGTGAGAGCATATCTCCAAATTTCTATTTTAAAAATTTTTAAATTGAAGTTTTAATGTGACCTGACCTGATTCCAGGTCCATTTTAAAAATTAAGTTTTTTTTCTTCTAAAAAAATCCAAAAAAAGGGGCGCTGCATCTCTGAAAACAGAACAGTTTGCTTCCGCCAAGTTTGGTGCATATGATCCCACCCGAATCACAGCACTCCAGCATGCTATTGGAACGTAAGATCGTACTAGTTTATGTGCTAACACGCGATCCTGCATACACTGATCAGTGGTGTCCTCAGTCATTGGGTTAAGCTAAGTAGCATCGACACCTCTGAAAAATTACTTGTGTCCGTGTTGGACACCGACACCTACATCAATACTTGTGATTATTTTTAATTTATCCATGTTTTTCAATTATTACTGATATCACTGTGTCGGTGTCAGTGATGTAAGAAAAACCCAATCCGAAGATAGAAAACACCCATTTTAGTGATCTTGACCACAAATCTCACTTCCAGCAATCTTGCTTGAAACGCAACATGATTTCATAGTGTAGGACAGTACAATCCTACGAGCTAGCACTTGATCTTGACTATATTGCTCAAACCATGATTGGGCTTATAAGAAGCCCATGATCTGAAACCCAAATCTTAAAACTGAAATGTTCTGTTCTCATTAGAACGTATGCCACTTACTGCTGCAACCCACCATTCCTCTGTTGCATCTTGGCATCTCTCTTCTTTTGTTATATTTAATGGTAAGTTACTACTACATATAAATACTAAATACTATATAGTAAGTTGTTAAGAGTCCCACATCGGATGATATATGGCCTGAACACATCTTTATAAGTGGAGACAATCCTCACCTTACAAATTAGTTTTAATGGGGGATGAGTTAGGCATAACCATATTTCTTAATATGGTATCCAGAGTCTCGTTTAAGATTTGGGGGGTCTTGGGCATGAGGAAGTGTGTTAAGAGTCCCACATCGGACAATATATGACTTGAACATATGTGTTTTTGAATATAAACTTGAGTATTATCATTTGACATATAAGTGGAGGCAATCTTCACCTTACAAGCCCGTTGTAGTGAAATTTCTTATGTTCATATCAGATAATATAATATATGGCAGAGTTGAAGAGTATTATCATTTGACATATTTGTGACGGGCTTCTCCCAATTTGTCAGTGTTTTTGAATATAAACTTGAGTATTATCATTTGACATATTTGTGACGGGCTTCTCCCAATTTGTCAGTGTTTTTGAATATAAACTTGGGAGAGAACGAGTTCAAAGTAGGCGGTGGCTTTGAGAATTGGGTCACAAGCCTAAGACTAGTAAACAGTGGATTGCTGGTGACTAAGTCTGTCTTTGCTGCCATTCCAGGGGTTTAACATTTCAATTTGCTATAGGCTAATGTTTTTTTCCACTGCAAAATAATAGTAGTTCATTTCATTAATTTGCTGGTTTTGTATTTTCACACGTTTTCGATCATTTTATTCATGTATATTATTACTTGTGTAGGGAAATTATGCATAAACATGTATATGGAATTGCACAAATGAATTCTGCTGTAGCCAATGTCAAAAGGGATTTACTTAATACTAGAAAATTTCTCAATTGGGGTTTTAGTTGTTAAAATATAAGCGGTGTCGTCACAAAGTCCAGCATCCATTTGTTGGAAAATATTTGTATGATTTCATGCAACTGTTGGTAATCTTCATACTGGTGGAGTATTATTCTAATAGCATTGGAAAAGAAATTTGACTTTTGTTTTGTTCTTGTATTGATCTTAAGGTGGGGGACACAGTTGCTTTAAAGACAGCGACGAAGCTAGGATCAGGTCAAAAAGGAAGGAATTCTGGGAAAAAGCAGTTGATATAGAAGAACTCTGTGGTCCAGGGGAAGCATGGTGGGGAGTAAGAGGGTACATGCGCGACAACTTCAATCACAGTAATAAGCCAATAACTTACGCACAACACTTCCAAAATAGCCGGTATGTTGAATCTATTCTTGATGTGTACTGGGAACTCCCACCAGTTGCTGGTCCTTCCCTCACTCATCAAACCAGATACGATCCTGCGCGTGCTCCCATTCCTATTGTTGAAGATGGGCGATATGGTTTGTTCCAGCGGCTTGGTTTGGGTAAACTTGACAATTCTGTATTTAATGGATACACTCAGATGGTTTATTTACAGATATCTGAACAATAATTTACATTTTTCTTAGACAAGAGTATGATGTAGTTGAAGGAATTTTTGTATCTGTATTATTTACAAATATTTGCTTCAGCCTGATTTGGCTTAAGATATAGTTCTTTTATTTTTCTTGCCATTTTCCTTTTACAAATTCTTTCAAATTCTTTACTCATTGTTAAATTCTACCCAAATTTTGTTTAGTTAATTTTTATGTTTGGTGGCATAGTTATGAAGAGTTTTATTATGCATTTATTCAATTGCTATTGTTACTCTTCAAGAAAAACTCATTAAAGTTGGACCATTTTTTTCCCTAGTTATTATCTGATTCAATGAATGTGACACAAAAAGGGACATCAATAATTCAAACCCTTCTGGTATAAATAATGTTTATTTTGGTTTCAAGCTTAATCATTATGTAGCCTAACATAATTTTGAGTCAAGTCAAGTGTCTTAGTGTGCAAAAATAATGACAGAATTTGACATATCATTCACATCACAGCTGTTGCATGTTTCCTTTCTATATTGGTGGCTATAAACATTACAATCCAAAGAAATAGTACTATCTTAATATCAAAATCCAAAAATGTTCAGATTATGTTGTTTTATCAAGAACAAATACACAAGAAAAATTAATGAATACTTGCAGATGAAAATGCACAACAAGCAATTTTTTTTATACATCAACAGGAGTTCAAAGGTACACAAAACAGATCTGCAAACAAAACATGTGTATAGATATATTTCTGGATATGTCTCAGTTAAATTCTACTAATTGAAGACTTGTCAGACTCAGACTAATAATTCACAGAAACTGAGACACAGAATTACATATATTTTTCATTTGGAACATAACCATATAAACTCAAACTTTCTTGTAAAACTTCATATATGCATATATCAGTGAAAACTCCACTTTGTTTTTCTGCATTAATTTTGGCTCCTAGATTTTTCCATGGCTCTTGGAGCTGCAAACAAGATAATTGATAACATAGCATATTTTTCAGCACTCCAATGTAAAATCAGATCAATATATCAAAGATTAGGATGAAGCAGAAACATACCTAACCCAATTGCCTCAGAACCTTTCATTATCCTTAGTCTCCGACACGAGTCGGCGAACATCCTGCATCAACAAACAATTTACGTAACCTTTTCAACCACAGGACTATTATGATTTAACATGAGCTTCTATAATTTTTGATCAACTTATTACCGCCAAGGAACATCGCCGACAAGCATCCAATCTCCATCTTTATCTTCATATGTAAGAACATATTCAGATCCATGTAAAAGATCCCTCAAGGAGCTTTCACTTAGTCCATCTTTCCCAGGAAGCCCAGGAGAATTGCATTGACCTAGTATTAGGACAAGAACATATATATAGATAAGCACTTCTACTATAAGCGCTTAATTAAACTGTTTATCCATAGTAGGCCTTGATGCAGTCAATCTAGGAAACTTATTGAACAAGAACATGTAATTTGAAGAAGATAGAGTTACTAGTACCAATGGTAAAGCATGTGAACATGTTCTCAAGAGCTGAAGAAAGATCCTTATAGTTATTGTAGATTTTGAGATCAATCTTTCTGAGATAAGGTGCACCATCCATACTCACTTTTACATAGAGACAACCAAATCCTGATTTTCCTTCATCTTCATCATTGCTCTTTGTCAAATTCGAAGCCATCGAGTTCTTTCGAAAAGATCGAATCGGTGGCCATCCTACAACCTGTGTCCTGCTTCAAAAGTTTCACATAATGAAAACACATAACAATTTAACAAGTTCAATATTTTCATTAAGCAAAATGATACAAAAAAAAAAAAAAAACATACTTTGAAGCAAGAGCATTAACATGTTCATTTGTTCCAGAAACATGTTTATTCTTTTCATGTAGTGGTTGGTGAAGAATCTCTTTGATGTTTTTTGATGAAGATTCATTAATAGCATCATAGAAACCTCTTTTAGCTCCAACACTAGATACAAGGTTGTTCAAAGAAGAACAAACATTAATGTTTTTGTTGAAGTTATGAGGAACTTCTCCAACTTGTTTTCTGTGAGGAGATTGAGAACCAGGTAGGCCTAGTCTAAGTTCTGTCTCCTTGAAGTTGAGAGATGAAGTCTCATCATCATGTTGTAATGGTGTAGACATGAAGATATTGAAAACACAAGTTTGAATTATTGCTATGATAGAAGAAAGTGAAGTTATGGTGAGATTGATATAATGCATAAAACAACCTTCTTTGGTCGTTTTGTACCAAACTTTTTCTTCCATACAAGTATTTCTTTATTTTGATTTATATGTATAGTAATAGTATATACTAATGTGTGACATGATTATGTTTGTTGAACTTCGGTTTTTCTCTTACTAAATTATAGAGATTAATAAAAGAGTTTAGTGAATAAGCATTGTTAATTTAAAGTGATTCACAACTATTTAATTTGTTGCATCATGGTTGAGCACTTATAAAAAAAGTACTTATGTATTCATTTGTTGTTTGTTGGTAGATTATGATTAAATATCACCTTGATTTAAACAATTTCACACTAGCAAAACATGTCTTTTTTTTTTTTTTTAAAGTATAAATAAAACATTGTTAAAATCTATATTTGAATACAAGAAGATTTTCATTTAGTTGAACCGTTGATTTTCTAATACCATGGTTAAGTTATGAGATCAACATCACATAAGTGAGTATCACATATTTATTTAAAATTTTGAAGATATTAGATTTATAAATTATAAATCATTTTACAATTTTAATATATTATTAATATGTTTTTATTTAAATTATAAGTTATTTTACAATTTTAATACATTATTAATGTCTTTTTATCTAAAAAATCTAGTCTTTAATTTACTAGCTTATACCAACTCTACTAAAATTCTTCGGTCAATTCTATATTCTTTCCGTCTCAAATGATAAGATATGTTTCGACCGTTATACACTAATTAAGAAATATAATTATTATTTTATAAAAAAATGAAATGATATATAATTTTATAAAAATATTCTTTAATAATTATATTAAAAAAGAAAATTAAAATAATAGAAAGAAAAAAGAAAAATAAATAATATATGATATATTAGATAGATAGATTTTTTTTTTGTATTTTTAAAAATAAATTTTATAATTTTTTTTTATAAATATTACAAGTTTTTTTATATTCGTTTTTTTTCTAAAATGAAAGATTAAATTTGACAATCTATAACATAAATATATATTACTGAATATCAAAACATAATCGAAATCACAATTTTTAAAAAAAATTATATTTCAAAAAAAAATTTATGAAAAATTATTTGAAATAATTTCAAAATTAAATGATTTTTAAAAATTTTAATATAAAAAATAAAGTTTCACTAAAATTATGAAATATTTAAAATAACTTTTCATAACCAAATTTCTAAAACTATGAAATCTCAACTTTTCATCTATTTTTTTCTCTCTAAAACTCAATTTATTTATTTACATGTTTTTTATAATTTCTTGTCTATTTGATCATGAACTTAAGCAGGAGAGGATTTTTTCCAGAAAAAAACATAACAAAGTAGATAAGAGTATTACTGAAAATTGAAACAAAAAATTGCATTTTTTTCATTTGAGGGAAGAAAGTTAAAAGTGGTAGGTCTCATTAGAGATGAAAATAGGTTGAACAAAGTTAGGTTTTCTCAAGTTTAATTTCGATATGTCAAAAAAACTGAAACATATGTTTGTCTTGTAGTTTGTCATATATTTATTTTTAAGTCTGAACATGACCTTTTCTAAGATTTAATTAGTGTGTTAACCTACACAAAAGCCTATTATTATATATATATATATATATATATATATATATATATATATATATATATATATATATATATATATATATATATATATATATATATATATATATATATATATATATATATATATATATATATAAATAAACAATTTAAATAACGTTTAAATAGAATAACAAATTAAAAAATCAATGAGACGAAAAATTTGTTTGAATTGATTTATTTTAACTTACCAATTAACATAAATTTTGTGAGATTATTTATTTAAGAAGACTTGTGAAAACAATTTATAACATTGTTCATAAGGTGTTTTCATCTTATTTTCATAAATTCTAAAAGATAATCAAGTTTTATTTATATATTTTGATTCAAAGTACAAAATATAACATAATGATAATAAAAAAAATTATTCACATTTATTTATATAGACCAGCTTATTAGATTTAAAAGTTTTTTTTTTTATGATATGAAATTTAGTCTTTTTAACTAAATAAACTTATAAAAAATCTTAAGTCTAACCTGAACCTATGTAGACTAGATTGTAACCTGAATTTATATAGATTTAGTCGTAGACTCCTATTATCAGTCTGAACTATTTCCACGCCCAAGTCTCGTTATAATCTTATCTCTCTCCCCTATTTCTTACTATATCATACGGGATAAATTTACTACTTCTCTTCAACTTTTCTCTCAGCAATCCCTCTCTCCCCTATTTGTTTTGAGAAAGTTAGAGAAGAGAGAAAAAGAAAAGAGAAATACTATATTTATCTTTTTGGATAGAAAAGAACTTGCAAAGAGAGAATGAAAGCATGCGAGTCCTACCACTTTTTGTTTTCCCTCAATTGACCTAAGAAATAGGAGAGAAGTATGGTAAAAGGTGCAAAAAAAAACCTTTATATATTGTACCAATTATGTTGAATTGTATAAGTATTATGGTTTTTTGTCATTTCAAAAATAATTATATGTCTCTCTTTCTAATTTCTATTCAATCAAGTAAGAGAAGAGAGAGCATACACTTTTCTCTCCTCTATTTTTTCAATTTTTCTAATCAATACCATAAATCTATCATATTTATCTTCTCTTTCTCTTTTTACTCATCTATGTTATTTATTTTTTTCTTCACAACTTTTGTCATAAACTAAACCCACGTTAAATATATGCTAAATAGTGAATTTGTGATGCATGAATAAAAAATAAAATTTCTAAATTAAATAAGTGGTTTTTAATAAACTCCTAAACAATAACATAAAAAACTTATAATTTAACTATCTCATATGTGTTTAAAGTAAATAAAAACAATAAATAAATATTCCATAAAATTAAAAATAACATTTATAATATCATACTTATCTAGGATTACATATTCAAACATACACCTTTCATAATAAATTATAATTAAATTTGATTTTTTTTAAATATTTTTGACAATTAATATATATAGTTATGAAGTATATACATTAATAATTAAATATATATAAAAAAAGTTAAATTTGACTATAATTTTCTACGAAAGAAATATATATAAAGTAAGTAGTATTTTTTATACAAATGATTTTTAATTTATTTGAAACAATTTACAAAATAATTATTTTAAAATATATTAATAAAGTAGATTTGTGTCAATATAAAAATTTTAAATTTTTGATATTTTCTATTATGAAACTAATTGTTTTGCACCGTTAATATAATATAAAATATTTTAAACAGTTAACGTATCATAACCATTTACCTATAATATTTTATACATAATTTAAGAAAAAATTAAATTTTTATACAAATTTAAAAGTTATAATTTATTGATAATATAAAATTAGTTTATACTGTCGATGTATTTCAATTAATTTTTTTTATTATTTATTTATAAAAATTAAGTTAAATATGAAAGTCTATTAAATTATTAAATAAACTACTCATTACTTTAATAATATTAAAATATTTGCACCGACATGTTTCCGAGCATTACATTTTTATAATCAGAATGTACAG